GAGGCAGCTGATAAATTTCAAAACTCCTTGACCTCTGTCCAAATTTGTCTCTTGTGCATGGATATTTTATCCCAGAAACACCAATGAGAAGGGTAAAATAACCAGTGTCGTGTTCATTAACCACTGCTGTGAGCCTGGGCAATTTAAGAACAGTAGTAATAATAAAATATATCATATGTGCACATGAGCTCTCTGGTTTGGGGCAGCACAGGGGTTTTCTGAGTGTTGAGAAGGTTGGACTGGGCAGTTCCTAGTCAGGATTGTCAGGGAGAGAATTTTAAAATGAAAACCAAGTTTTTATAGTTGAACCTGTAATGTCCTTGCAAGCAAAGATCTTCCAGCCTGAAGAAGGAGTTCTGGGGGTATCCAGTTTTTATATTTCCAAGGACTGAGTCCCCACCCCCGTGAGGAAGAATTATTCCTTTATTCTCCAACCAAATTTTCCCATATTGCAGCTTTTCCACCCACCCTCTTGTCTTTTCACCTCAGATGGGTCTGACTCCCTTGTTTTTTCTGCCTTAGGTTTCAGACATGGAAAGACTTCCTTAGGAACTGCCTTTGCTTCCTTTTCCTGTGCTCAGAAGCCCCAGTTGCACACCCACCCAGTGGTCCCACCTGGACCTGCTGCAGTTTGTCATCACGTGCATGGAAGGACCCCCAGCTGGGCAAAGCCTTCCAGATGTGGTCACTGATAAAGGGTAGAACCTCTCCCTCGGGCTGGGGGAGGCTCCCAGTGTGTCCCCCAGCCCAGGGACACCCCGAGGCCCCGCCTGAGCTGCTGCCCTTCCCGAGGAGCTGCAGCCCAGCCAGTGCCAGGGCAGGGGCTGTTCTGCCCCACGTGCAGGAATCTGTGGGGAGCTGGAGCAGCACCAAACCCTGCAGGGCTCAGTGTCCCCCGGGCTGGCAGAGCCTGGGGCTGCCCGTGGCTCCAGCAGCTCCTCTGGAAGGGGCACGTTGCTCCAGGCATCCCTCAGACACACAGATCCTTAGTCAGGGTGACTCAACGAGACAGAGACACAGATGAGCAAATCCAAAGTCTGGGAGAAATGGTTCATTAGCATAAGGTCATTTTTTATTGCTCTCATGAGAAGGGGGCTCATAAAAAAGAGGGAGAATGACTTTTTACATGGACAGAGAGTGCCAGGACAAGGGACAACATTTTAAACTGAGAGAGGAGAGATTTAGATGGGATATTGGGAAGGAATTCTTCCCTGGGAGGGTGGGGAGGCCCTGGCCCAGGTTGCCCAGAGAAGCTGTGGCTGCCCCTGGATCCCTGGAAGTGTCCAAGGCCAGGTTGGATGGGGCTTGGAGCAACCTGGGCTGGTGGAAGATGTCCCTGCCCATGGCAGGGGTGGCACTGGATGGGCTTTGAGGTCTCTTTCAACCCAAACTGGTCTGGGATTCTGTGTTGCCTCAAAGAAATGCAACAGGGTTTATTTCAGCATGTTCATTCTCTAATTGCACCTGGCCTGGGGGTGTTCAATAAGCTCCATGGCCCAGCTGCTGGGGCAATGAAAGGCTTGGCCCCTGAAGTCCATCAAAGACCTCTGAAAACCCCTGTCTAAAACGTGAAAGCAACAATTGTTATTGGTGAGCTTCAGGCACGAAGGGGAAACCTCTCCAGTTCTTGCTTCCAGCTCAACTAAGCTGGTGTTGAAATGCTTCCCTTGTGCCTCTCAGTTAGACTGAGACATCATAGAATCACAAAATCATAGAATTACAGAGGGTGGAAAAGCCCTTTGAGCTCATCAAGTCCAACTGTTCCCCCAGCCTGGCCAAGGCCACCACTGACCCCGTCCCCAAGTGCCACGTCCACAGGGCTGTTAAATCCCCCCAGGGATGTGACTCCACATCCCTGGGCAGCTGTGCCAGGGCTGGACAGCCCTTTCAGCAATGAAATTCTGCCTGTCACCCAGCCTACACCTGGCACAACTTGAGGCTGTTTTCCCTCCTCCTTGTTCCCTGGGAGAAGACCCCAACCCCTTGGGCAGCCTGTCCCAGTGTCACCTGCCCTGCGTGTGCCCTGCGAGACGAACTGAGCCCAGGCAGGAACTCCCAGGGCAAGCTCTGATTTCCACAGGCTGATGCCAACCTGGCTGTGGTTAGACCTGGCCTAGAGCTGGGAGTGGGATGTTCACACACTGCACCACACAAGCAAACTGAAGCACAGCTGCAGCTTGGCAGCTACTAAAGAAAACAATTCTGGCCCGTGCAGAGATAGGGCATCGTTTGTCCTCGTGCTGGCTCAGGACCTGGCCCCACTGAGCAGGATTTACCTTCCCACTCACACACCCCGCTGAGGGACCGGGACTGGCACCCCTGCAGGTGTCCATGGCCCACAGCAAGGCTCAGGTTTGATTTCACTGCAGTTTTGATCTCTGCTGATCCAAGCTGGGATGGAATGGGATTTGCACGACTTTGCTGCGGCAGCACTGCTGACCCAGGGACTCCAGTGATGTTTTGTAACACTCCTCTGTAGGTCCAGGCTCAGTGGGATCCCACTGAGGGGACCCTCCAGGCCAGTCCCTGTATTTCCCTCACTTGGAGAACAGGGATCATCCCTGTGGAACGTTTCTGTGGAGCTGTTTGGCCAGTGTGTGTGCTGGCACTGAGATCACCACGGCTCCACCAGCTGTATTGAAAGGGTTTATTGATCTGCAGGGGCTTGCTCATTCAGCTCTCCAGGCACCCCAGAAAGTCACTCCTTTATTCTTCTCCAAAGGATCAATGCTCAGGACAGGACACACGTCCCTAAAACAGACCTACAGCAAAACAGCAGCCCAGGTTTGACACACACCCACAAAGGTTTATGGTTTTATAGGCAGGTGGCAGAGTTTCAGCATAAATTAAACCCAAATGAGGAGTTTATAGAATCAGAGAATGGTTGATGTTGGAAGGGAACTTAAAGATTATCTCTGACCTAATGCAACTCAAACACTGGAAACCAAAGCCAAGCTTAGAGTCGTTTCTTACCTCCAAACTCTATGGAATTGGTGATTCCTGGCAAAAGGAAACACCTCAGCTCTGTTTTACAGGGAACCAGTGACAGCACTGGGTCCAGCACTGCAAATGTGCCATTTTATGAGTGTTGTAACACCAGTTTCCTCCTCCCTTGCAGCTTTTGTGACCCTGATGGAGCATCCAGCTAGAAATTTTGTGGGGTCAAGAGCCAATCGAAACTTGGTATGTTTTGGAACTGAAATAGGTTTGGGATTTTTTTTCATCTGGGGTATGTAGCAAGACAAGGAATCTCTTTCTGCATTCCTGCTTTGAATACCAGCACCTTTCTCATTGTCATTGCACCATTTTGGTCCCCATGTTCCCCACCATGGACACAATGGCACCATCAATTCCTCTGCCTTTGACCCTATTATTTTTTGGGGTGAAAATGAGGCACATCACGAGCTGTGATCCCACACTGAGTCAGAGAGGCTGAACGTGCTGAGGGTTCTGACTGCAACTGAGAGCCTAGAAAATGAGATTTTTACCATAAAAAAACTTCATCTAATTTAGATTCTAAAGTGAGGCTCGATGTACCTTGGGCAAATCACCGAACCCACCTTTGCTGCTCAGAATGAGAATAAACACCACTCAAAATGGGAATGAGCACCATTTCTGTCCCTCTGCCTTCATAAACTGCCAGGTCTGTAGAGCCTGCACAGCCTCTGGCTCTCCTGTTGGGTGGCTGGGGCAGTGATGGATTTCCACTGGAGCATTAAGCCTCTGCCATTAAATGAGCGATAAAGTGACGACGAATAAAACACAGTTGCTGTAGAGAAAACTATGAATTATACATGTGGCTGCCACTGGCTGGAGGCCTTGGAGGGCAGCACCAGCTTCTGCTCCCTCACAGCCACCTTCAAACAGGCAACAGTTTTTACTTGCTATTTCTTCACTAAATAGCAATCCCGTGTGGTACCTCTGAGCAACAAGAAATGAAGTCAAACTACTGAATGTTCCACCTCAGAATGGCATTAAATGTTTTTTTGCTATTTGGAGAGAGAGTAACTCCAAACAAAAGGGTATTTTAGCAACAAAATGTGCTCAGTTGCACAGCTCAGTGCACCAGGCTGCTCTGAGACACTCGGCAGCCCCTGCCCAGCTCTGCAGCCCTGCCCAGCTCTGCAGTTCCAAAGGGATGCCCAAGAGATTTTTAAGCTCCAGGAAAGCAGCAGGAGCATTTTTAGGATTTGATAACAACAATTTGTTTCAATGCCATTCTATGATTCTTCTGGGAATGATTTTTCACCAACGTGTTTAATCAAAGTAAGGTCAATTAAGGAATAAAGAGACCTCATGAATGCTGGAGTGCAACACTTGCTTTATCTCTGTGTTGTTTCCTTTTGGAGATTTTCCAATACTATGAATTTTAATAAAGAATAATTCCCTAAAATGAATTCCATTATACACTTGTGATTCAGAAGAACACATTCATTATATGTCTTTCCACCTGACTCCAGAGAACACAACTGAGACGGAGATTTATTCTCACGCCACAGTGAATTCCACCTGCCTCCTCCTCATAAGGGATTTACATGGGAAACTCCAGCTGAATATGAGGGAAAATTTCTTTGTTGTGCAGGTGACCAAGTACTGGAAGCAGCTGCCCATGGAGGGTGTGGAATCTCCTTCCCTGGAGATGTTCCAAACCCTTCCTGAATGTGATCCCAGGTAACCTGCTCTGGGTCAGCCTGCCTGAGCAGAGAGTTGGATGAGATGATTTCCAGAGGTTCCTTCCCACACCAACCACCCTGTGAGTCTGGGATTTCCCCCAGGTGACATACCTGGGGCAGGTTCCCATTTCTTTGGTCGCTGTCCTCCCATTGCCAGAGATCCTGATTTTTGCCTTTCATTTTCCACAAACTCATGGACAGCGGTGTGGGGGTGTCGGGTGCTCTGGGTTTGACTGGGATGGCAGAAGACTTGGGAATGTTGCCTGAAAGAGTTGAAGGAGACTCTGGGGTGGGGAGCTTGGAGTCCCATCAAGGTGTCCATCACCTTCACTCCTGTTCTCCCAGGAAGTGGCTCTTGGGGCGGACGAACACCTTCACACCCTTCTCCCTGCCCTGCTGTGCCCTCCCTCCGCACACGAGGGGTTCAGAGCGGGGGGAGCAGCACGTGCAGGTTGGCCAGCAGGGTGTGGACGTGGCAGGGGATGTTCCAGCTGGGGGAGCAGCACGTGCAGGTTGGCCAGCAGGGTGTGGACGTGGCAGGGGATGTTCCAGCTGTGGGAGCAGCACGTGCAGGTTGGCCAGCAGGGTGTGGACGTGGCAGGGGATGTTCCAGCTGTGGGAGCAGCACGTGCAGGTTGGCCAGCAGGGTGTGGACGTGGCAGGGGATGTTCCAGCTGAAGCGTCAGCGCCGGGAAAGCAACGGGAACGTAGAAAAAGACTAAAACACAGATGTGAGAGCCACGGGTGTTGAAAGCCTTGTGGTCCTGGAGGGAGCCTGAACAGCACCATGAGGATGAACACACAGGACACAGCAAGGAGGACGAGGTGGAGCGTGACCACGGCCAGAGGCACCGTGAGGTACCAGCTGCTGAGGGAGGTGTGGGTGCGGGCCGGGCGGGCGATGCCCGTGTGCTCACAGTGGGTGTGCAGGATGGCACTGTGCCCGCGGAACAGCTGCCACTTCAGCAGGAAAATACACGGGAAGATGATGCAGAAGCTCCTCAGCAAAGCCACCGGGCCGGTTTGGCCGCGGCTGCCGGGGTCAGCACGGCCCCTGGCACAGCGGGGGCAGATGGCAATGGAGCAGCCACAGGCTGTGGCCAGCGGGATCACTGACCCCCCCGAGCAGGTGAGGGCAGGGAGAACATCTGGGTCAGGCAGGCACCGAAGGAAATCTCCTGACAGAACCAGAACAGAGCCAGCACCTTGGGCACCGCCGTGGTGGAGAGTGCCAGGTCAGCCACGGCCAGCATGGGCAGGAGGAGGTACATGGGCAGGAGGAGGTACATGGGCAGGAGGAGGTACATGGACTGGTGGAGGTACATGGGCAGGAGCAGGTACATGGGCTGGTGGAGGTACATGGGCAGGAGCAGGTACATGGGCTGGTGGAGGTACATGGGCAGGAACAGGTACATGGGCAGGAGGAGGTGCATGGGCAGGAGCAGGTACATGGGCTGGTGGAGGTACATGGGCAGGAGGAGGTACATGGGCAGGAGGAGGTGCATGGGCAGGAGGAGGTACATGGGCAGGAGGAGGTACATGGGCAGGAGCAGGTACATGGGCAGGAGCAGGTACATGGGCAGGAGGAGGTGCATGGGCAGGAGGAGGTACATGGGCAGGAGGAGGTACATGGGCAGGAGGAGGTACATGGGCAGGAGCAGGTACATGGGCAGGAGGAGGTACATGGGCAGGAGCAGGTACATGGGCTGGCGGAGGCTGTGCTCACTCCACGTGGGGAACAGCAGGACACTGTTCCCCAGCAGGGCTGCCAGGTGTGTGGTGCAGAACGGGATGGGGATCCAGACGTGCAGCTGCTCCGTGCCCGGCTCCAACCAGGATGAACGTGGCCGGTCAGGCTGACCAGGGTGTGTTCACCTGAAGGCAAAGGCAGAAGGCAGTGCAGAACGGGATTTTAGGTGCTCGAGCTCCTCCATGGGCTCCAAGCGCCTGCTGTCACCTGCTCTGCTCTGTGAGGAGCCACAGCCAGAGGTACCAACCCAACTCACAGGCCCCCTGCTCTGCACTGCCCTGCAGCCTGTCCTGGCACCCCCTCCTCTGTGAACAGCAACGTCCACATCTTCTCCTCATTTCATTTTAATACAACAGAAATGTGTTTTTCTTCCAAGTGCTTCCACTTCAAACAGTGACTGGAGACAGAATCAGCCTGGTTGCACAGATACTGTGGTACTTCTGTGTTCTCTGAGCCCAGAGCAGAAGGAAGAAATCAAGCAATGAGAGAAGAAAGGTCAAGTGTTTGCAGGGACGCACAGGATGTTCTCAGACATCAGGAATGGGGACTTCTAAGGCTCCTGGACTCACACTTAGAGTAGAGAACAAAATCAGCTCCAAGTCTGAAGGTGGCTGCAAGTTCCTTCCTTATCTCCAAAGTCTCTCCCTCCCCTTTGGGTTCTGGGACCCCCTTCAATTTGCTTTTCAGTTCTTTTTCAGAGCAGAAATAAAATTTAACCAGGCACTTGGAAAGACCTTTGTGTCAGGGGAAAACCTGAGTGAGGTGGAATTCCCCCTCCAGCCAAAGGAAGGATGTGCTGCTGCCCTGGAGAGGCCTGAAGAGCCCCAGAGGCTGGATCAGAGCCAGACTCACAAAAGTTGAAAAGAAATGCAAATGTTTTCAGCAACTTCTGCATTAGCAATCAGGTCTTACATATCAAAACTCAAACCAGGAATTATCCATAATGCAGCCAAGAGGAGAAAGTGGTGCAAGTGCTGAAAAACAAAACTGTGAGGTTCCTGCACACCAAAAAAATTGACTCTGTGTGTTAGAAAGTAACTGTACCTTCAACAACAAATTGGATTCCCTGTTCACATTCAATTCCATGTCTACAACATCCTGAACCATGAAAGTCCAAGGAGCCCGATCCAGGGAAACACAACATGACAGTGGACTGTCTTTGAAAATAAAACTCATCAAAATAATAACTGATTCTGTAATAATGATGAGAATACGGAAAATTATTGTATAACAATAATTACTATTCTTTAATAATAACAACCAATCCTGTAAATTATTTAAAACAGTTCAGTGTAAATATTGCATGAAACAAAAATAGCTGTGATGTTTAACAGACAAAATATTACCAGTGCTGGTAGCTGACAGCTGTGCTGCCATGCCAACAGCTCTGCCTCTCCAGCAACATGGGAATGCAAAACTGCAAAGAAACAGGGATCCAGGGGGAATCTCAGTGCACCGGGAGCTCTGCACCAAAGGATTCTCCTCAGCATTAGACCCCTTCTCCATGATCTATCAGACCCCCTCCTCCATCATCCATCCTCACTAGAAACGTCTGTTATTACGGTTTTTAATGCAGCTCCAAGGATGCAGATCCCACAGCTTCCCTGAGCAGCCCCTTGGATTCTTCTTCCCCGAACTCTTTTAATTTCAATTTCAACTAAAAGCAATTACCTAAAAAAACACCCCCCGTCCCTCCCGGGCTGCCCTGGTATGACGGGAAGCTCTGCAGAGAGCTGTGGGATCACTGCAGAAGGGGGTTGGTGCTGCAGAGGGAGGGAGAGAGGCTGGAGTCCCCCCCCTGCATCCCTGGGGCAGCCCCCCCCCACCCCCAGACAACTGGCCTTCAGGAGAGAGGTCAGGGGAACAAAACCAGGCTGGGGGAGAGAGGATTCCCGGGTTATTCCCAGTGATTCCCCTCTCAAGAGAAGGAAAATCGCAGCCCCGTTTCCCCTGCATGGAGGACAGCGGGGGATGCTGGGGCTGAGCCAGGCGGGAGATCCACGCCGGCATCGCCCCCCGAGCATCTCCCTGGGCGTGCGGGGTCACTCCCGCCTGCTCCTGCTGCTCGGTCACCCCCAGCCCGCACCCCCAGCTCTCGGGGACACCCCCAGCCCGCCCCCAGCTCTCAGGACACCCCCAGCCCCCATCCCCAGCTCTCAGGACATCCCCAGCCCGCACCCCCAGCTCTCAGGACACCCCCAGCCCCCATCCCCAGCTCTCAGGACACCCCCAGCCCGCACCCCCAGCTCTCAGGACACCAGCCCAGCTCTCGGGACACCCAACATCCCCAGCTCTCAGGACATCAGCCCGCCCCCCGTCTCTCAGGACAGCTCAGCCCCAGCCCCCAGCTCTCCCCAGCCTCCATCCCCAGGGACACCCCCAGCCCCCATCCCCAGCTCTCAGGACATCCCCAGCCCGCACCCCCAGCTCTCGGGACACCCCCAGCCCGCACCCCCAGCTCTCAGGACAGCCCCAGCCCCCAGCCCCAGCTCTCGGGACACCCCCAGCCCGCACCCCCAGCTCTCAGGACACCCCCAGCCCGCACCCCCAGCTCTCAGGACACCCCCAGCCCGCACCCCCAGCTCTCGGGGACACCTCGTCCCCGCCGGAGCGCGGGGAATCTCAGTCGGATGTCTCCGCTCAGGAGGGAAGGCTTTTCCCCGGTTTGTTGTTAACAGGGATTTGACAGCTCTGCGCCAGCCTCTCAGCGCCCCAGAGATCCCTGGGGCCCCAAATCCACCGCACAGACACCGGCTCCCGACCTGGGGAGGGTTCCGGCTGCGCTGGGGCGGTGGGAGCGCCTGTACCTGCTCGGGCCCCCCGAGGGCGGGGAGGCTCCGTGCCCTGCTCGGCAGCTCCAGCTGCCCTGGGGTGCCCTCCCAGTCCCCCAGGGAGGAGCTGAGCCCGGGGGTGCCCCTCACTCCCCAGCCCCACCCGGCCCCACACGCAGGAGGGTGCGGGGTCCCCGACGGCGGCTCCGTGAGAGCCCAGCGAGGGCACAGTGACGGCCCCGCCGCCCCTCCTGTCCTGGGGGCTCAGCCAAACTTGGGAAAACAGGTGGAGGAGTTCGCCAAGCCAGTGTGACACGGACAGGGTCGAGCGGCAGGGCGAGCACGGGAGGAGATCACTGCTGCAAGTAACTGAGCACGCCCGCAGAAACAGCAATCCCTGACGGGGATAATTATTGTTATGCAGATCGCTCTTGGTGATTAATTCCCTAAAAGGAATTTGGAAGAGTTTCCCCACAGGAATGAGAGAGGAATCTGAGGGCTGGGCTCCTCTAAGGGATGGGAGGAAGAGTTTGGGGCTCTGGAGCCCTCCTTGGAAGTGGAGTGCCAGGGTGGCATCGCTGCCCATGGCAGGGGGGTGGAACTAAATGATCTTTAAAGTCCCTTCCAACCCAAACCCTTCCGTGCTGTGATTCTACGAATGACTGGGCCCCCCCCGGGGCAGTGGGTGACCACCCCTCCCTCCAGCCCCCAGGGATCTCACCGTGGTTAATGCTGGAACACATCCACCTGCAGGAACAGTTTCCTGCTGGACTGTTCCAGCACTAATGAACTCCAGGCAGCAGCAGCAGGGGAGTCACTCCAGCACCTGGAGAAACACAGGAAGGCTTTGACCATAATAAAAATAGTAATTCCACAAGAGCAATGTGAAGCACAGCATCAAACACCCCTGAACCCCCGAGGCAAGAGTGCCACCATGCTACTGCTTGGGTAGGGTTGCAGGTATTGCAGGAGTCATGGAAACATGGAATGGGTTGTTTGAGGGGACCTTAAAGCCCATCCAGTGCCACCCCTGCCATGGGCAGGGACACCTTCCACCAGCCCAGGGTGCTCCAAGCCCCGTCCAACCTGGCCTTGGACACTTCCAGGGATCCAGGGGCAGCCACAGCTTCTCTGGGCAACCTGTGCCAGGGCCTGCCCACCCTCCCAGGGAAGGATTCCTCCTGACATCTATTGGTTCAAAATCATTGCCCTGTGTCCTATCCCTCTCTGCCCATGTACAAAGTCACTCTCCACTTGGATTGCTAATCCAAATGAATCCCAAATCCAAGGTGAGGCCTGGCTGTGTCATGCTTTGGGCTGGCACAGGTGTCCCAGAGAGCTGCAGGATTGCTGCCGCAGGGGAATCACTGCTCCAGGCCCTGGAAAAGCTCAGTTGGTGCTCTCCAGGGGCATGCTGGGCAGATGATATCTGCTGTCCTGGCCAGGCTGGAAACACGTGCCTGGAGCTATCCAACACTGCTGCCTCTGCCAGGGAAGGGGCCGGTGCCAGAGAACATGGGTGGGCACCAGAGTTCAGCCATTGTGTGAAGGAACACATGGAAAGGTCCAACCTTCAACTCGAAGGTTGGTTCCCAGCCAACCTCATCCCTGGGGCCCAGGGAGAAGTATGACATGGGAATCATGAGCTCAGGGAACTCCAGGACCATTTCCACTTGAGACAACCAGCACACCCACCTGTTTGCAGGCTGCCATGGCCAACCCCACTGCAGAGCCCCCAGGGACCTTCCCTCTCCACTCCAGACCCTGCTCCCCTCCTTCTCTGAACACCCCTGTCCTGCTGGCTTTGCTTTGGGGATGTCAAACACCCCAAATCTTCACATCCCAGCCAGCCTTTGGGGCGTTCTGGGGTTCTACCCTGCACCCCCGCAGCTGGGCTCCCCCCTCTCCTCTGACGGGCTCCCAGCAGTGGTGGACTTTGGCAGCATCCACACTGAATTCCCTGTTCCCAGAGCAGACACGCTCCAGCACCACCAGCAGAACAAATCTTCACCCAGCCGAGGAAAATCGGGTTTGTTTCGAAACAAAGCCAAAAGGAGGCAAACGTGTCTCAGCATCCCATGGTTCGTTTCTTGTTTGTGTGGTGCTTGGAAAGAAGCTTTCACAGTCCCCAGGTCGCTGCTCAGTTTCTTCATCTGCAAATCCAAAGAGCAGTGCTCGTGGAGGCGCTGGAAAAACCCAGGTGCAGAGCAGAACAGCTTTGTTTGTTCAGCCTTCGCTCGCAGCTTTCAGGGTATTTGATGCCCACGTCAATTTTCTGAATTACAAAATTTTCTTTTCATCAGAACTCCCCCGGTCCGTTCACAGAGAGC